AAGTCAAGCGTTTCAATAGGGCTCATGGGTGAACGAACCACTACAAAGCCGATTTAGAATGGACTGCATTATCCAGTGGCGTCCAATTATATGATTTGATCATCAGAACAGCCGAATGATTGATTCCCAACTAGAAAGTTCTGAGTAAAAAGTTCAATTTTGTTCTAATATTAATTTCGAAATTGTCCTTTCTTTCTCATCTTCGGAACTTGATGAAAATGGTAGAGGGCAAAAAACAAACAAAATATCCAGTTACTGATATGCCAAATAATTTAATCGGCTGGCTATCAAAGACCGAAGACAAACAACCAACAAAATCATTAAGAATCAGAAAAGCTGTGTTCAACCAAGCACGTTCCATTGTTTTATAATTTATCTTCAATGTTAAAATCTTCAGCTCAAAATAACATTTCTTCAAAAAGAAAAATCTAGCAGATTTCTTCATATGGTCACGTCTCCGTCTATGGTGAGTCGTACCAGAACTATTTGCATTTAGCCGTGATATTTTCAGACTCACCGACCGACTGACTGCCTGTCTACAGTCTACGTCTAAAATAAACCACAGGAAGTGACTTTTTCTCTTTTTCCAAGCTAAAATGATTCTGGAAACATTTGAATTTAGCCCCGTATTCTAAGTGGTACAGATTTAAAAATATGACTCGGAATTTACAACGGGGATTTCCTGTTCGTTTTCAAGCCCAGTCACATTTTCAATCTATTTCAGTGTGTTCTGTTTCTGTTGAAGAAAATCGTGCAACAAGAGGGAAGACGACACTTTGCTAAGCATTATTAGTGCATATACGCTAAACCAGTCCTTACATACACGTAGATAACAGTGAAGAAAGCTAACTAAATATTTAATATTTGCATTGTCAATGTTGGTTTCGTGTTTATCTGGCCCAATTGTGTCGATTATTTCTTGAAAGTGTAAATTGGTATAACAACACACAGTTCAAGGAGGTTCTTGCGGGCAACCGTTAATAGATAGATGCATTTCAACACATTGATTTTTTTCCAGGATAATTTGTGTTTAAATATTGGTCCATTATCGATAAATCCTCAATTGGCATGGCTTTTTTAATATTGGCATGGCTCTTTCCTTATTGTTTTTCCTGTTTCATTTTTTAATTGTCTTATTCAAAGCTTTGCCTCTGCTCTAAAACAGCAAAATACATCTTTCATTCCTTGCCAAAGTCTATTTTAGTCGAACAAACGCTTTTCAAACTCATTGTCAGTCTGTTAAAGAAAAAATACATTTTATATTGGTCGGTTAATTTTTACGGTCGTTTTACGATCACCCAGACATAAAGTGCTGGTAATTTAGAAGGATGGAGGGGAAGTAGTAATTTTTAAATGACCAACTACTGGGCCGTAAACAGTGAAAAATAGTCTCTTCTCGACATTTCATTTGATTTATCATTATTATGGCGCTTTTTTGCGGCAATCCTTGTTTGGCTCATACGGTGTTCTGTTGCTCTTCAGTAGTAATTTCTTTGCTTTTTCTGGCGATTTCTTCAGCTAGAAAATTTCTAAAATTTCTCTTTCAGATGCTATTTCAGGCTCCCTAATGCTAGTAAAATCGTCGACGAATGTTCACTATCAATCGTCAATTTTTCTTCTCAAGCCTCGTATTAACCGAAAAATTCACCTGCTTGCTTAGTGTAGTTCACACTTAATTCGACTGACACATAAAGCCATCTTAAGCTCTGAGTGTGATAACAAGGTTTTTTCGAAGGCTTTCGATTAAACTCCGGTGGATCCGACCAACCCAGAGGACAATTTTAATAATAATTGTCTGCCAGTTACCAAAGCAATTTCAGCTTCCGGTTGCAAAAGAATGCTTTATTAATTAGTTAGGCGCGGTCCGGTAAGTGAGCCCGAAATCATTGCAGACATCGTTCAGGAAAATTACTTTTAATGAGCGCCTTTTAAGTAGGCAGTTTAGCATTGTCAAATGCATTGTGCAAGTCCATTAACACTTGTAATCGTTTGTCTTCGATTGTGTGTGGCCGGAAAACTTGGGCTTGTAAAATGTATTGATGACTCTGGTTTTATGGCCTGGTACTGTAAAGTTTTATATCCGAAAGCCATTCTGTTTATGTTATTTTATGATTGAAAGAACCCAAGTATAACGGAAAGTCTAACAAAAGAACTACTTGCCTCAAAATGTTGGGAATTTGATTCTTGGGTATATTTTTTGCCCATAAGTTCCCATAATTGAGTGCACGACATTTAAAGCGTTTCCCTTCAGGCTTTAAATTTGCAGTTTTTATTAGTTCAAGCAGTTGAAAGAATTCGCGATAGAGACATCTGTTTATTAAATATTCTTGTTCTACAGACTATTTTTCTCTGGTTTTCTCTCAAATCTAATCATTAACTGATTAGGGCAACAATATTATATAAAACCGTGAAATTTGTCAAAAATAAGGTAATTCACCCTGGATTTACACAGCAACAGCTTTTGACTAGAAAAGCAGTACAGGGCTGCTAAAAGAGTTTAAAGAATAAAAGATTAGATAAACTAAAACCATCAGATAATGGAAATCAAACATTATTTATTGATATACATTTTTTTCTGCGTCATTGTATTAATGTTTTTTGTCAACTGGGAAGATGATGAGAGAAGAAGTTTTCTCAGAAAAATAGTTTTGTTTTATTCCGCCTTTAAGCTCCAAATGAGTGTTCATGACTTGCTCAAGAATTAATCAGTAGGTACAATTTCCGTTCCATAACCAGTGTGTAAAGGATGTATCATCTCCGTGTATCGGATATTTTGCAAAAATCTTCATAACACCGTTTAAAAATGCATGCACTGTTTCGTACGGTGAAAGTTGTTGTTACATCAAACAACTAAGGTGAGATGGTTAGTGTCTCAATTAATGGTAGAATACAGTATTTTTTCGGAAATGTTTAGTTCTACACCAGCCTGCTCAACCCGTACAACCTGTACATTTCGCATTGAATAAAACAAGTTTAATCTCTAAGGTAAAATATTGACTTGAACAAATCTCATTATTTCAAGAATTGGAAAGCAAGGCCAGTGCAATATACGTAGTGTTTTGTGGTTTAAGTATTGTGCTTTACAACACCGCTTATTCCTTTTATTTTAATACCATATACACTACAATATCTATTTATATGCAGATTTAGTTATGTATTGCGAAATTCTCATTCTGGACTCATAAAATCGGTTTTTATCAGAGAACAAATAAAAATTCGCAATTATTTAAATAATGGCACAAATACCAGTTATATAAGTGCTGTTAGAATTTATGCAAATACATGCAATTTTCTGGTTGTGTATAAAACGGTTTGACGGTTTTGATCGATTGAAAAGCCGGGAAAAAATTTTTACGTAACTCTATAATGGAAATTGATTAGTAATTTGCAATAAATCAATATATGCTAGTCTTTTTTGCTTTGAACATTTTCTCATTAAACCATTACTTTATCATAGTTATTGGCGAAAACGGTTTGAATTTATTCATCTCGATAATTCCTGCTTGGGGTAAGCAAAATGTGAAGAAACTCGATGATTTGAAGATGTAAGTACATTTAAAAACTACCAAAATTGAATATGTTGACCAAAAAGTAATTTTTCCATCGAACAGATAGACTTTCCACGTTTGATTCGTAAATAGAAATGAAACTTCAGACCTCCCGTGAAAACTTTTTTCTACGAAAACTTCAATTCAAAGTCTCTAAATTGGGTTTTGCAATTAATAATCGAAGTTTTAATATAAAATAATGCAATATAATGAAAAAATTGCTGATGTCTTTCACACCGGTTTATGAAGGTTTTTTTCATTCGAAAACTTGGCTTGTGGCACTGAAGTGAAACCTCTAAAATCGGATTTAATATAAATAATCCAATGTAATACGATCTCTGTTGCTTTAGCGCATAAAGATTGGGCTCTTGGAATGTATTGCTTTCTTTAGCCATTTTATCCATTAATTTATTCATTAATTATTGTCATTTTATGTGTATTATTTTACACCTATCGTGGCTACCTTTAGTTTTTTTCATTCGCTTTGACCAGATATTTGTTTGCTGATTTTTGTGTTTCTGTATGTTTCTTCTCAAACATTGATCTAAGAAATTACCGAGAATCAGGAATATTTAGCTTTTCTGCCGATGGAAACTTTTTCAATCAAGTAAAAGCTGAAAACGTCGGAATTTGGAATTCATTAAGTTCCACATTTTTTAATATTTGAATAACAGTCACACAATGGAACTGCCTTTTGAATAGGATCGCTTTTTCAAAAATTGCCTCCCTGCATATTATGCTGAAACCCTTGAAAATTGCTGCCAAAACTGGAATAGCACAATGTTTTAATCAGTAATTTCCTTAGTAATTTTCAACTTAATCAAGCGTTTATGATTAAATTAATTTGAATGTAAATTTGCAATTATTTTATCCATTTTACCTTCCTTCAATTGGCAATAGTAATAAAATTAAAGCATCCATTTAATTTAACATTCTCAATCGTGTTTGCAACATAATTATATCAGAAAAAGTGGGAAGCCTTATCCTTCTTAATTAACAACTGTTGGGATTTAACATCTGTGTATGGCAGCTATGTATCTTATTTCACTTGTAAATGTATACGTTATACTTTAAGCAGACACTTACTAGAAAATGGTTTTAAAAAGGGACTACAAGAGTAGCATTTTAAAGAATAATGCAAATTACTTAATGGGGCGAAGAATAATTTAGCAAATTAAATGTGCACGGAGAAAAATTTGTAAAATTTCAGGCTGCAAAGGTCGATTCTTAGTGTTTGGTGCTAATCAGCCGATAGCAAATGTGCTAAAAGTTTGGCTAAAATTATTTTAAACAAATGTTATTAAAGTTAAAATTTACTAGTTGGGACTGTATTTTTTTAATTGGTGATTTATTGAATTTTTTTGGATTAACAATTTCCAATAATGTCCTCGATTTCTGTTCAAAATTCTCGTTAAAAGGGAAAAAAATGCATTTTTCTGCCGATATACGTACCCTACTTCCAGTGCAATGATGGGCAAACAATAATCCACAGTCACTAAACGAAAAATCCAAAAATTATGCCAAACTTATGATGGCACGCTCACGACATATACGTTTGAAGAGGGAACGGCACACAATCCACTAAAACTCTTGCTAAACTATGGTGTTTATGTTTTGTCTGTATGACCGTCTAAAATGCCGGCTGCTTTCCTACCTTTTCCTCGTTCTTCCTTCCACTCAGTCATGCTCTTTTTCCATCCTTTGCGCTCTCGAGGGCCGGTGGTACCGTACCATTATCTCTTTTGTCGCCGGTACCACGGTGAAATAGCCTGGGTGGAAAGGAAGCAAGAACAAAAGACCAAGGGACAATAACTTTGCGTGTAACTGGCAATGAGCAAACTTTATTTTTTAATTTAGCAAAAAGTCGACCAAAAATAATGAATAAAGGAAATTGAATTGCTAAATGGGTCCAGGCTTTTACACAATGAGAATGCAAGAGGGCCTTTGAAAAGATTTCCTAATGAAGCTCAACATATTACACTTTAGAGCCAGTTTCTTTGCTATGGAACTGTTTATTGAACATTTTTTAAATCTTTTTTCCCTTGTAGTTTCTGACAACCAACTTTTTTGGAAGATTGTTGTTTTAGAACATTTTTACGTAGTTTCAAGTACGTTTCAGTAAATTTCTATGCCAATTTTTACCGCTCTTTATACAGGGCACAGATATTTCCTTGTAAATTTCAATTATTTAAATGGACCATAAACATATCAATGAAGAAACGAAAATATTTCAGTTCTGTTTTCAACTCTGAGGGAACTTTCTCATGAAGAAAACACGTTCAAAATGTTAAGTGTTTTATCGGAAAATTTAAGTGAATCGATAAAATTTGCTACGTGTTTTTGTAGTAGTAAGTATTTTTGTATAACATTTCAATGGGCCACATTTGGCATCATTAGACTTTATTTCTTTCATAGTTATTCGAAGCAATTTTCCATTCTAGTCAGCAGATTAATAATCCCCTTCGTATCCATGAACTTGTCTTACTAGTAATCCTCTCCATCTTTATAATTCTTCATGATATCGTTTTCAAATCTGCAAACGTCCCATTTGATGCACATATTTGGAAGATTTTTCCTCTGTATCGTGGTAGAAATTACTTGGATCTTCTTTCCTCCAAGTTGAACAACGCCATATATTATGGGTCGATTTTATGAAGATAAGAAACAAAACAAAAAAACACGTTAAAAATTTGATTTTTCTGTAAAAGCTGCCATTACTTCTCGAGGAATTTTCCGCTTGATAAGTGTGTTACTGAATTCTCTATCAATTGGCGTAAAAGTCAGCGGCACTAGCTCAATTTGTTCAAGAAATATCAGCTAAAAGCTGGCGTCATGTGGGAAATAATGACCGGTCTCAAAAATAAATTGCAATAGACAATTTAGCTTTTGTACGAAAGCAACCACTATTTCAGCTAGTTCAGCTTCAGAGCTATAGCTCGTTTGGTTCTTCAGATATGACTGAAAAGGTGGCGTTAGATACAGCGTACAACCACAAATTGTGTTAATATTTCGGTTTTTGTGTGAAAACTGCTAAGTTTCCCAAGTACCGTCAAGGGCGGATCCAGGGGGGGGGTCATGGGGGTCATGACCCCTCCCCATTCAATTCTCTATTCAACGATGCCAAAACGAATTCTGTAGCTCAAATGGTTCTTGAGAAAATTCTAAAAAAGCAGCGTCATGTTCAAGTGGATTTTGCAACTCAAAAAAAAAACCGCGCAAATCTAAAACTTCTTCAATTCAAGCATTTTTTTAGAAAACTGCCAACATTTCCCCATCCATG